GGGGGGGGGGGGGGAAAAAAAAGAAAAGGGATTCCGCTCACGTCGAGCTTTATGAAAAGAAAATTTACAGTCACGCCGTCGGCCCCCAGCTGAAACGTTTCACTAATCGGAATTCGTGGCTCTCTATAAATCGCTGCCACTCTTTGACGTCACTTCCTGCGCGGCCACTGTTGGCGACATACTAATGACGAGCCGCATACCTGCGTCCAAAGCGAGGCAAACCGACGACGCGAATCGAGTCGAAGTCGCGTCGATACAGCGAAACTCCGACCGATTTTCATTCGATTTCCATTCATAATCTTTCCCTGTTTATTCGCGCCGCGAGAATCGAGTCCGAACGTTCGAAATTCGCGGGCTTTTCTTCGTGCCTCCTCAATTTCAAATCTTCAAATATTTTGGAGTTTCTGTATTAATAATAATTTAATAATAAAAGAAATCGAGCTTAAAACAATAATCCATTATTTAATAAATAACGACGTATCTCGGATATTTTACATATTTTAAATCGCAATTATTATTTATTGATCAAAAATTAAATTACTTCTCAATTATTCTCTTTATTAAATTAAAAAAGAGAAAAGTAATAATTCATAAAATTGCAAGGAATATTTCTACGACATTCGACTTAAATTTTTTCATACCCTTTTTACCCACGTCGTATTATTCAGGATCACATAATAAAAATCGAAAAAGTCACACTGTTCGTTACAACCTTATCCTATCGTTCCCTTCCCTAATCTTCTTAGCAGCAGCTAGAAACTCACGTTGTATCTTTATACTTTAAAAAAGAGTAATAATAATTTCACAAGTCTTACTACATATCCCGGTCGACAAAGCGCTTAACGTTGACCACTTGACCCGGTGCATAATTGCCCGCTATAATCGGTGAACCGGCCATATATAGAGATATATATTACACGTAAGCCGTGAGGGGGAGAGTGGGAAGAGGGGGCTGCTTAGCAACAGCGGGGTGGTAGTTCAGCCCTGCCTGAAATTCGGTTAGTTTGAACGTGGCCAAGCCGGGAATTAAATTAACAAAGTTAATTCTCATTCTGAGGCAAAGGAGAGGCTAGCCGAGCGTCCCGGAAGCGAGACCGCCGCGGAGAGAGTATTTCCAGATCCCTTCTCCCCGGCAATAAGAGGAACAAGGAGTAAATGCAAATCTAATCTTTCCTAACATTCCATCCCCCAAACCTGGAGAACGGTCGTTTAATCGCTCCTTGGATCCCTTATTCGATCTTGGTCAACTGCTTTTGAAATCGTTTTAACTAAAGATACAACGTGAGCTGGCCTCTGCTGGTGAGAGGGAATAATCATCAATTGATTTTCCAATTGACAACGAGTGGTGTATTAAATATGTAATTCAGGTCCCATGTGAAAAATGTAAAAGGAAATATGGAAATATGGAAGGATAGGAGAAACATTTTGTCCTGACACAACACCCTCGTATACCTACTATAAGGCAAAAATCCGTGAGATTTTTTTCCACCAAAGCGAATAGTAAAGATAGATCTCACGAAGTATCGAATATATTTATTACTTACAAATAATTCCGATTATTTTCGAAACTTTCGAAAAATCTTATCCCTCCAGGTATCGAGTATTCAAGAATTTTCTCTGATTAAAAAAAAAAATAATAATAAGTTTAACTTTCGTTCTCTATTGAAAGATACGAAAGAGACAAAATACCTCCCCTCCCAATAACGAAATACTCTTTCCACGCGAAAGAGGGGATATAATTACTCGAGAAGAGGGAGGGGGTTGATAATTTTTCGATCGAGTTTCGAATATGGGTGGGGGGGAGTAGGTCTCTTTTTCGATTTATTCGACGCGATTCCCACGAATGCGAATCCGGGATTTAATTAGGGGAGCACAAACATTTCGTGTACGAGCGCACAGTGGGTAAAATTGATTTACAAACATTTGCTGGGTTTCGCGCTTGGACGCTCGCCTCGTGGCCACGAGAAAAGCGGGAAATCGGAGGGGGGAAGGGGACAAGAAAATATAGGATAGCGCGTCGTTTTCGTTCGCAAACACGTGGAGGGAGGGGGGTGCGAATTAATTGGAAAATGAATGGACGGAGAAAATGGCTGTTCAAGGATCCGTTGAACAATTGAAAGGAGAATTGAATCGATACGGCGGCGGCAATGCGATACAAGCGTATTAATGCGCTTTACGATTCAATATGGCCGCCGCATGGAATTGCGAATTGTTTGCTCGATGAAAGGGGGCTGTAAATTTATTTTTTTCGTAAAATTGTGCGTTATTTCCTGTCCTTTTTAATCGTTTGGACAGGAAAGATTTGGAAATTGTTTTAAATCTTATAAATAGTGATACAAGATAAATTCGATATCACTAAACAATAACTAATAGATCGAATAATTCGACAAAA